TCATTGACAGAAAAATCTTAAACATTTATGCCTTGTGAACAATTATATTTAAGTCTTTAAAAATTAGTAAAAAAATCTCAAACATTTATGTTTTGTTACAATTATGCATAGCGGTTATATTTAAAATATAAATTAATATCAAATATTTGTATTTTGCAATTGATGGTTTTTGAACCCAGGCCACAGAGAACTAGGTAATCAAGTGTAAAATTAACAATAAACACGGCAAAATATTAAATAGAATTAATTTTGGACCCCAAGTGCCCTTTCGGTCCCATAATGAAAGATTTTACAACCACGAGCACAAGTACAAATTATTGCTAATCATTTACTCCTTTTCCATTAAACAATGGATTGGATAAACAATTACAAGCATTTTATTTAATGCAAGAAATATTTAAAGTGATCAAAATGTTGAGGAAACACGCCATTTGCACGCTTTGAGAATTGAAACATCCTTGAGAACTTAAGATCTCTTTAGGGTAAAGTTCCTTGGTCGGACGCGAACAACGATCCTTATCACGAAAATGATTAGGAGCCCTGGTCGGATAAGAACGGGGACCCTTAGCCTGATGAGGACGAATATCCCTGGTTGGATAAAGACCGGGACCCTTAACATGTCGATCGAAGACAACAAGGAAGTTCTCGACTGTCTTTCTCTATTGACGGTGACTCTCCTTCTATTTATTGGTTGAGAAAACGAGCAAAGTTGTCTTCCTTTATAAGCAGAGAACGTATCTAATCTTTCTCATTCCTATCCAACACACCGAGCCACGTATAGTAATTTAATAATGTAGTATATAACATTAGGTTTACTAGTATTTTCACACGGGCGTTGCATGAAATTGATTTTGTTATAATATTTTAAGAATATTTGGATTGATATACAATTATATAAGTTATAATATCGATTATCGAATATTATATAGTGCAATTGATGAAATTAATTGGATCGATTTTGTTTTCTGATTTATCCTTTCTTGAACTCAAGCAAATAATTGCTCAATTAACCGTGCGATGCATGTATAATTTTTTTTTTATTATTATATATTTAGATAATTAAATTAAAGATAAAATATAAAATATTCTAATATTGAACGTGTACATTTGTTTGATTATAAGATTAGTGCAAAAGTATCACTCAATTAATTAAATAATATATGACTCGTTTGTCTGTAATTATCTTAAAAAGATCGATATATAATATGATTTATGTAATTATAGTATTACTAAAATAAATATGGTATTTATAATCCATTCCTTGCAATGCACGGGTGAAAAAATTAACATTATTTAGTTTTTGTATTATTAATATAGTGCATAAGTATATATGTATATATGTATGTATTTAAAAAAAAAATGTATGTATTTTTTTAAAAAAAAAAATTACAATATTTATGAATACATATTTTGTTAATTTTATAATATTTTATCCTTAATTATATTTCTTATTTTATTAGTTATAATTAAGGAAAATGCATGTACAAATGAAAAGAATTTAATTACGGAGTATTAAATTTATATAGATTAATATAGTCCGATCCGTAACTATATTGAACATAAATCATTAAAACTATGAATCATTACTATTATTTAGAGTACAATTCATTCTTTAATATAATTTAATTTAATTTATGTTATGATATTTTGAGCATATATCATTACTATAGTATTAATATAAAGGGAAAATGGCACTTTCCCCCCTAAGTTATATACTTATAGCATTTTTTCTCCCTGAATTATTGAAGTGGCTATTTTTCCCCCTGAAATGTTAAATGGACATATTTACCCTTAAAATAAATATTTCATTTTTTTTTCTCCAACAAATTATGACCATAAGTTGGTTCAAACCAAACAAACACTATAGCAACCAAACCGAAATATTTCAATTACAATTTAGAATCGAAACCCGATATTTAGAGTTTATTAAAATCGTGAACCGGAACGGACGGTTCATGTTCCGAACTGAAAAAAAATAAAATACATTTATTGTTGAATTTAGACTATTTTAAAATAAAAACTAAAATTTTAAAATAAAGACAGTTCAAAATCACGAACCGAATCCGAAACCGCCGGTTTACGGTTCAAGATTCAAATTTTTTATACATAATTTTAATAAATTGACATCTAAATATTGGGTTCTAGATCTGAATCATAACCGGAAACTTTTAATTCGATTGCTTTAGTGTCCGGTTCAGTTCAAACCGAACCGTGGTCATCCCTACGTATACGCAATAATTTGTTGGAGAAGTAAAATAAATAAAATGTTTACTTTAAGGATAGAAATGTCAATTTAATATTTTAGGGGGAAAAGGCACCACTTTTAGAATAATTGAGGGGGCTAATGTGCTTACCTAAATAAATGAGGGGAAAAAAGTGCTATAAGTATATAACTCAGGAGAAAAAGTGTCATTTTCCCTAATATAAATCATTACAACCATAAATCATTATCATTATTTTAAGCTTAAATCAATACAAATATTAATCTTAGCTTTAATTTACTGTAACTTAAATATAAGATTGAAAATATATACAATTAAATTTGAATAAAATAAAATTATTTCAATTTTAAAATTTTTGAACTGAAATACAAAATAAATAAATTTTAAAGATATCTACAATATCAAGATATTAAATTAAATAGAACACTTCAATTCTATCTAATTAGAATAAGTTCCACATTTCAATTTCAAACTTGAAATTTTCATTTTATTTTATTAGAATAATATATTTTCATTTTATATGAAATTTGTTGCCATTAAAATTTTTAATATATATATTCTACCAGTGCGATGTACAACAAAAAATTTAAATAATTTTATTGTTGATACGATTTAAAAATAAAATGATAGAATAAAACATTAATCCTCAAAATTCATTGCGAAATATAATATTTGTTCTCTTGTAATATTAAATTGTTTATTTATATTGATCGTCACAATATTTTACAAAAAAAAAAAAATATTATAAAACATTGTGTTATTAGATACAACACGTGATTTTAAAACATTTAAATTTAAATAAATCAAATGTACTTACAATATAAACATAATTATCCAAATTACACATACATAAAATATGTCAGTAATATGCATAGTCCAAATATATTGTATACATGTCATTTAATATAGATACATGTAGAAGATAAATAAATAAATAAATATTTACAAAGCCCAATGAAATAAACCTAAAAATATATATTTATAGCAGCTCATTACAATTGTCTTCGGAAAAAAAAAAACAAAAAATAAAAAACAAAAAACAAAAACAAAAACAAAGATTATCTCAATCTTTTAACCCTAACACCTCGTAGAGTCGAATCAATCATACCCTTATTGTTCAAGCAGTACTTTAGGCATTTATTTCATTGAGTAAAACGAAAGTAGGAGTCCAAAAAAAAAAGAAAAGAAAAAAAAAAAAGAGATACAATAAAAAATGAGGAATTATGGTAAGGTAAAAAAATTATTGAAATGTATAATTTATATATATCAGTCTAAAAATCAATTAGATATATATAAATTATATTTGGAAAAGTATAAAAATAAAACGGATTAATAATTATAGTACATTATGCCGAAAAAATTTATTCCTTAGTTATAATTATAATAATATTATACTTTATATATATATATATATATATATATATATATATATATATATATATATAACCATAATATTACCATAATAATTACATGGAAGAATGGAATGAGAATCACCATAATAATTACAATAAATAAAAATTAAGCAATTATATTAATATTTAATTATTAAATTAAGTATTTGCACAAAAAAAAAGGTAAGTATAATTAATTTTGTATCAATAATATTATACATTAAGTATAACAATTCAATATGTATATAGATTATCATAAAATTATCATAAAAGTTACAGGAAGAAGGAGATGAAAATCATCATAATGATTATCATAAATAATTATTAAACAATAATATATTAATATTAATAATTATTATTAATTATTAACTATTAAGGCGTGTATAATCTATTTTGTACTAATACATGTAATATTATTTTTTTGAAAACAATATATGTAATATTATTACTACAAAATCAATTATACTTTATAATATCCCTCCGTCCCTCTCATTTGCTTTTTGCATGGTTTTTAATACAACATAATAAATGTTAATGACTTTTCAATTTTGTCCCTCAAAAGTATGTGTTATTTGTTAATTGTTTTTAGAAGATTTAGTCCCTCCGACCGTCTTCCATCAACCAGCCAGTGAAGATTCCGATTCAGTAGGGGCATTTTGGTCTTTTCTTATCTTCAGCCCTCTTCTTGACCGGAGGAAACCCCTGGTTCCTCTCAAGTTTAAGGCGACTCAGTGAACCAGGAGTGCCTTTCTCCATTGTGTGTAACCAAGCAGTTTCGAGCCTCTGGTCATGGATGATCGATTCTATTCCCTGTACTGGAATTTTTGAAATTCGCTCTTTTGAACTGTTTATTTTAGCATTTCCGCTTGTACACTCAAAACCCCCAACCAGCTTTCCATCACGATCATTAAAGCTTTCGCTTGATGCATGCAGTGGCTCACGATGTGCATCCAGACCAGAATATTCCCCTAATGCGTTAGAGCAAATTGATAAACAAAGAGACAACAATTCCAAACAATAAAAAGACTTACCATATAAAGGTATATGTGTATAGGCTTACCACCAGGAATGTTATTCCATTTTTGATATTGTGTCTGATCATGACAACAAAGTCTTAAACATTTATGCCTTGTGAACAATTATATCTAACCCTTTAAAACTTGGTCAAAAAAAAAAAAAAACTCAAATATTTGTGTTTTGTGATAATTATGCATAGTTGTATTCAAATTTTTAAAATTTAACAAATTAATATCAAATATTTGTATTTTGTAATTGATGGTTTTGAATCAAGGCCACTGGAAACTAAGCAAGCAAGTGTAAAATTATCCCTGAACACCACTATATCCTGTAGATTGACAAAAAGTAAAGAAACATAATTTAGAAAAAAAAAATAGAAGGAATTTTCTAGTATTACTAATAAAAGCATAAATGTAAAAAAGTAAAATAAAATAAAAAATTATAGAGGCATATTTGCACCATATCAAAATTAAATAAATATGTAAATAAAAGCATGTTTAGATTGACAAAAAGTAAAGAAAAAAATATTAAGAAATAAAAGAGAGAGGAGGGTTTTAAAATTGGAATTCAGAGCTATCCCATTGAAGAACTGCAGACTCCAAATTCTGCTCTCTCTTGAGCTTGTCTTTCAAAAACCAATCACATATTCTTCCTGCATTCAGCTCCTCGATTGGACACCCTTCTTGCTCTGATATTACTTTCAGTAAATTTAGTGATGATATCTGTAACATCAAATTTAAAACATAAATAAATATTAAAACACTAAACTGTACGACTTATGCTTTTTTCAAACTTTTGGCATTCTTGAATAAAAATCAAGTGAAATATTATCAAATTTTGTCCATAACTTGCGAATGATCAAATTTTATAGACAAAAAATCACACTTTTGTACAAGACCATGCCATGTGAATAGACATTATGTTCATAAATTTTGGTCACTCACAGATTGTATGGTAAAATCTAATAAACTTGAGAACCCTAACCAAGTTAGTAAAATAGTTGGTTTGGTAACGCAAGATTTCAAGTTTGACTTTTGATAGAGTTACATATTGACCTTCTTGGTCTAAATAAAACCAGTCGGCTATGGACAACTTGGATTGGAGTCTAAACCATTCAGTTATGAACAATCTAACGTGATTCGACGACTAGAATCACAAGGGCATAGAAATGACACAAATCTCATAAGATCAAAAGTAACCATTACTCATACTATAAATTATAAACAACAAACAATATAAATTGTCCATTTTGCCCTTCATTTTAACACCACTTAACACCAAAGTTAACGGCGGACCATTTTAACATAAAATTCAATAGTCGGAGGACCACTTTGGGTGCAATTAAAAGTTAAGGAACCAATTTAAAAAAAGAATATAGTCGGAGGATTATTTTGAGAATTAACTCTATTTAAAATAAGTTTATTAAGTTTTGTTTTGTTAGCTGCCATTAATTGTAGATTTGAATCTTTCAATGACCAAAAAATAGAGGTATAAATTTGATATACTTATGTACAAACATTTTAGGATATATTCATAAGTCAATTGAGACATGTCTTAGGATATAATTTAATTAACTCTCACATCCAAATTTAATGGAGTAATAAAATTTCAAATTTCAATTGCAATTATATAATACTGGCAGGAAGATATGACGCAAGCGAATACGTACCGTTAAACGGCAGAGGAAGCGCTCGTGAGCGTCGAGGCCGGAGATTTCAACCAGGCCGGCTTCTTCAAGCGTCAAGAAAGTACGCCGGCTAGAATTCTGTCCTTCTCCGCCGGCGCCGGCGCCGGAGCTACTCGCTTTTACTCGGAGATTTCTCGGCCTCTTGAGCGGCGCAAGAACAGTGTAAGCACGCGGTACTCTTGCCGGTGATCTTGGGGCGGCTGAATAACTCCATGAAAGCAATGCGTGCTGATTTCCCAGCTTGTAAAGTTTGAGTGCATTCATGATTTAATGTTTGTTGAACTTTGAGCTGAAGAATATAATGGATCCAGAAATGGATGGGTTCTAGAGAAGTTTGATGATGATAATATATATGTATATATGTATAGGTCTATCTAGATATAATGAACGCTTGCTATGATGATTAGGTTGTGTGGTGGAAATTGAGCTCCTATCATTTGGAATTTTGGATTTTCACTCCACGTATGGACTACTCCAAGAAATACCTTCACATTGCATATTAAAAAATTATTATTGGGGAACCAAAGCATTATCCAAAAGTGTGTACTATATAAACCATTTTTTATAATAACTAATTGAGGTTATTAAAAAAGAAAAAAAAAACTAATTGAGATAAATTGCATTAAGAAGAGCATGTGCGAGAGGTTCCACCGAAATGTTATTAGCAAGAATTAAATTAGTGATATACAAATTTTTGTCCATTGTAGACGTGTAGTTATTTAAAAAGTATGTATTTTAGTACAATGTTAATATATATATATATATATATATATATATATATATATATATATATATAATAAAAAGAATGAAAATTTAAAAATCTATATAAGTCAAGATAAACTATGTTAGATATATTAAATATAATATATTTAATATAATATATGTTAAATATAATATAATATATCTATAATATATATTTGAGAAGAGGGAGAGGGGGAGGAATGCTTAACACTTGATTGATAATAAAAGCTTGAATACAAAGACTATTTATACTAGATAAGATAACTAAAATTAAGGAATTAATGCTCCATGTAAAGCTAACATCATCGCCATGTACTGCACCTATAATTACTCCCATTATTTTTAACCAATTAACTAACTACTTGGTTTAATAATAATAATAATAATAATAATAATAATAATAATAATAATAATAATAATAATAATAATAATAATATTATTATTATTATTATTATTATTATTATTATTATTATTATTATAACATTGCCTCCTTTAAACCAAGTTGGATATACTGGTCATCCCAATATCTCTTTCTTCAATTTAAGAAATGTCTCCGTCTTCAAGTTGGATATACTGACTTGTATTTCGTTCTATAAACCCACTTTACTCCAATTGACTTCTTCCTAGGAGGTAAATCTGTTAACTCACAGGTACCACTCTTTTCAATGGCACGAATCTCCTCATCCATCGCCTTAAGCCAATGAATTTCTGTAGCAGCCTCCTCAACAGATTAAGGGTCACAATCTGCAAAAAGAGCAAATTGAATAATCTCTTCATCCGACAAGTCATTATCATGACCCAAAACATAATCTTGCAAGCGAGCTGGTAAGTGGCGCTCGCGCTGAGATCGTCAAACTGACGACTCTGGCTGTGAAGGAGACTGGACATTATCTGGAATCGGTTGCTCTTCAACAATATTTTCAACAGCAGGAATAACAACTGAACTTTCATCTTTAGCTAACCAATCCCAAGCACCATATTCATCAAAAGTGACATCACGACTTATAACAACCTTTTTAGTTTCAGGATTGTATAGTTTATAAGCCTTTGAAGCGTCACTATAACCAATGAATATGCATTTCTCACCATTATCATCCAACTTCTTTCTCAATGGATCTGGCACATGTGCATATGCCAAACATCCAAAAACCTTGAGATATTTGATAGAGGGTTTTCTCCCACTCCATGCTTCTTCGGGTGTCTTATCACTGACACTTTTAGTTGGACACCTATTCAACACATAGACAGCACAAGCAACAGCTTCTGCCCAAAAAGGCTTAGGCAGATTCTTGGATTTCAACATCCACCTTACCATATCCATGATAGACTTATTCTTCCTCTCAGCCACTCCGTTTTGTTGTGGAGTGTATCTAGCTGTCATCTGGTGTTGGGTACCCTTTTTCTTCAGAAAATCATCACAGGCAATATATTCTGTACCTCTATCAGTTCTCAAAATTTTAATTTCATAACCACTTTGCTTCTCAACAAAAGCCTTAAATTGTTTGAAAACATCACATGCTTCAGACTTTTGCTTCAGAAAGTAAACCCATGTTTTTCTACTGAAATCATCAATGAAAGTAATAAAGTACTTACAACCTCCATGTGAGGGAACCTCCAACGAACACAGGTCTGAGTGAATAATCTCCAACTGTTTTGTAGCTCTCCTTGACTTGCCCACGGGAAAGGGATCTCTATGCTTCTTCCCAATCACACAAATCTCACAGATACGATCAGGGACATTCACAACAGGTAAATCAGAAACAAGTTCCTTTCTCGCAAGATAGTTTAATCCAGAGAAATGAAAATGCTCAAACCGCATATGCCATAACCAATTATCATCACAAACTTCAGAATTAAAGCAATCAAGGAGAGTATGCTTAATTTTCAAAGGAAATAGTCGATTTTGGGACATATTTACCTTTGCAATCAAAACTCCTTTAGCATCTTCAATGGTACAACACCCCTGAGCAATATGTATCTTATATCCTTTTTCTGACAACTGACCCAAACTCAACAAATTTTGGTGTAGTTCAGGAATATAGAACACATCGGATATAAAATTGTGAGTACCATCCTTCAACTGAATAGAGATTTTACCTTTTCCCAAAATTGGCACTTTTGACTTATTGCCAAATGTCACTCCAGACCGGACTGATTCATCCAGTTCAGAAAACAATTCTTTCTTCCCACACATATGGTTACTACACCTAGTATCCAAGAACCATATGTTCTTATCTGCAGAAAAACTATCGCTGGCTAAAAGTAAAGTTTCAGAACTCTCACCAGACTTTTCAGTAGTGTTTTCAGCAATGTTTGCTTGATTTTCACGATTGTTGTCCTCATTATACCAACAATCTGCAATCTTGTGCCCATACTTGCCACAATTGTAGCAATGAAATGGAAATTTACCTTGTTTGGTATTACCTCCACCTCTTCCTTGGTTGGAGTTACCACGTCCTCCTCCTTGGTTGAAGTTACCACGACCTCTTCCACCAGAACCTCCTCTTCCTCTTCCACGACCTCTACCAGATCCTCCACCTCTTTGATTAGTGCCAGTCACATTAAGGGTGACTTGACTCTTCAAAGCTTCTTCTGCTAGTGGTTCCGTTTTTGACGCAATCCTGTCAATATGACTTTCTACCATACCTTTCAACTCTGCAATTGATAAGAGCTCAGTTTTGTGTGACTCTGTGATTGAAGCCACCACATGGTCATACTTCATCGGCATAGTTCGAAGAACTTTTTCAACCACTGCACCATCTTCAGTCGTATCTCCGTATAACCTCATCTTATTCACCATATCAATAAGACGAGTGAAATACATATCTATTGTTTCTGTAGAGGTCATCTCACAATTATCGTACAACCTTCTCAACGACTGCAACTTAGACTTCTGTGCCCGATCGACTCCTTTGTGTGACACCTTTAAGATGTCCCAAGCTTGTTTTGCTGTTTGAGCACGAGCTAATTGCCCAAAAATGGAATAATGAACACCTTGGTGAATCTGACCCAAGACCAATTTATCTCGCCGTATAGCGGCTGCATCAGCTCCTTCGGGTAGATCGGGATCAACAAAGCTCCAAAGATTTTGAGCTTGCAAATGTGTGGACATCATAATTTGCCAATAATTGTAATCGAGTTTCCCGTCCAATTTGGGACCCGTCCATACAATATTGAAATTTGCAGCCATATTTCACTACGGAAAATATCTCGGGTTTGAAAGGTTGACTGACTCTGATACCAAATGTTAGATATATTAAATATAATATATTTAATATAATATATATTAAATATAATATAATATATCTATAATATATATATAATATATATTTGAGAAGAGAGAGAGGGGGAGGAATGCTTAACACTTGATTGATAATAAAAGCTTGAATACAAAGACTATTTATACTAGATAAGATAACTAAAATTAAAGAATTAATGCTCCAGGTAAAGCTAACATCATGGCCATGTACTGCACCTATAATTACTCTCATTATTTTTAACCAATTAACTAACTACTTGGTTTAATATTACTAATAATAATAATAATAATAATAATAATAATAATAATAATAATAATATTATTATTATTATTATTATTATTATTATTATTATTATTATTATTATTATTATTATTATTATTATTATTATTATTATTATTATTATTATTATTATTATTATAACAAACTAGCATAACACACATGGAGTGTGTATAAGATGTTCAGTATTTATACCAATTTCGTGTTTAAGTATTGAGAATACAATTATCTTATAGTACAAACTGATTAATCTCAAGATCTTGTTATTAATTAATTAGCTGATTAGACGATAATTTTTTTTATATCAATTTTATATTTATAAGAGATGGTATTTAATTTTCATTATTCTAATTGTAAAATTTTTCTAATGTTTTTTATTCGAGATGATTAAAATTTAAAACCATGTTGATATTAATAAATAATGTGCATATATTCATTGTCACTTGTACAAAAACTATAACATATTTACATATTCCAATTCCTTTTGTAAAAACATAAAATGGAGATTAATTTTTTTTATTTTTTTTAAATAATAAAGAAACAAACAAACAAGAAGAGCCTTCAGCCTTGTACGGATGCTATGTCGGAGCCCAACAGCTCAGGTACATGACGGTCCGGAGAGATTCCTCAGCCTGTTTCAGCTTCTCGTCGGCTTTAGAAGCCTTCAAAGCGCAAGAATCAATGACGCCGGAAAACCTCGTGGCCATCGAACCACCCACGTCGCCGCCGCAAGCGGCGTCCTTAAGAGCCTCGAATCCCGCCGAGTGATCCCCGCCGGCGCCGTACTTGGGGACCAGCTGGTCCTTATTCATCCCCTGAACCACCCTTATCGCCGCCCGACCGACGCCGCCGCCACTCATGTAATTCCCGACGTTGTAATCTTCACGACACAAAAACACGGTTTCGAGAAAGAGCATATATAGCCTCAAAGTCCTCGAGTTTTATAGGGGAGTTGTTTGATGGATTATTATTGGATAATTATTGACAGCTTCCTCTGGTTTTATCCAAAACTACCGGCGACCGGAGATGCTAACCGGCGTGGTGTGCAAGAAAAACCGGGGGCTGGGGTGACGCTGTACTGGATTGAGTTTGGTTCCTGCGGGTGACGGACAGTTGTCGGTTGTAACATGAGAAATCTGACTTGGAT